GGCTCCGTGGACGCCCGCTCCGTCGCCGACGCCGAGTGTCCAGCCGAGCCCTGCGCCCTGGACGGAAGCTGCTACGACGGCGCCGAGCCAAGCCCCGACGCCGGCACCGAGCCAGGCCCCGACGCCTGCGCCCTGGACGGAAACCACGACGACGGCGCCGGTCCCTGGTGCTTCGAATGCGCTGTCACCGTCGCCTTCGTCTGCCAACCCGAGCCCTGCTCCGTGGACGGACGCGCCGTCGGCGGCGCCGTCGGCCGCGAACCCGAGCCCTGCTCCGTGGACGGATGCGCCGTCGACGGAGCCGACGTCGTCGACGTTGTACCCGACGCTCGAGCCATGGACGCATGCGACGATGACCGAGACGCCGCAGACTGGCTTTCCGTCGCCGGCGCCGTCAACCTATGTTCGGACGTCCGAGACGCCGATCAAGGACGTCAGTGTCAACTCGTCCAACAACGAGAGCAGCGGCGCCGACGTCGGCAGCATCGTCCTCGTCGGTTTGATTGCGGTGGCCGGTGTCGTCGTTGCGATCCTGGCGGCCAAGGTCGTCCGGAAGCGCGTCCGTGACAACAAGCGCGACGATTTCGAGGAGCCGGTCTCGCGCGACAACATTGTGACGATGGTGACGCCCACGGACACGCGCATTTTGTAAGCCGTGCCTCCTCCTAACTTTAAACCTTGATGTATATATTCGTGTACGATCCAACCACTCGTCTCCTCTTCCACGAAGCAGCCGTCGACCGTCGTGGAGCCAAGAAGTTTTGGGTTAGGGTTGAGTCCAGGGGTAGGGTAATACGTGCGCTTTGACGCCAGTGCCACCACAGCGATGATAAACCACTTCTTCCCGAAAGTTGCAGAGCTATGGTGACACGATGGACAGATACGTCTGGCGGACGAGCTCGAGGCAAGAGCAATGACAGTCTACGTGTCCGCGCCATGGAAAAGCTTCGTGGAGTCGAGGGTATCGCGTCGACGCTGGCGTCCTTCGACAAGCGCACTAGCTTAGCACCATCACGACGCTTGGAAAACCTACTAGAGTGCTGTCGGCATGTGAAGCTTTAGAAGCCAGGCTCCTGGCCGACGAGCGCGTGCAGAGCCGAGATTTCTTTCAATATACCGTCCTTGTAATACCCAGGGCTTGCTGCTGTGCACGAAACAGAGACAGCAAGCATCCAGGACGAACGCTTCCTCCTCGTCGACGTCGCTGTCGTCAAGGCTCGAATGAGAGTTGGGTCGAAGCGCAACCGCAGTGTACCAGCGAGTCGCGTTCCGCTCGCGAGAGCCCAAAGACCCCGTTGATTATCTTTCCAGCACATTGGATATGCTCATTCATACTTTATACGGTGGAACCGTTTGCTTGTGTTTGCTGACGTACAAGGTGTCGGAGCGAGGCGTGGCACGTAGAACGAGGTGGCCGTCGCTTCACGATGGAGCGAACGAATGTCTGTGTGACTCGCAGAATGCTCTAACCAGTAGGCCGACGCAGTGGCCTGACGTACCGCCCGCAAGTTAGAATCCTAGTAGTGCACCCGACTGCCACTCTGGACCAAAGTTAGTAGTTGGTGGCCATGGTTTGTGTCTCCAAATTCCCGGGAGTCCTGGTGCATCGACGCTGCCAGTGGCGACAGTAGTGTGCACCAGCAACCCCCACAAACCAACCAGCATGACGTCGAGTCGCTCCAAGGGTCAATCAAATATGGACGCTCTCTGCCGTCGCCTGCTGAGCCACATCGCACCCTATCACACGCTTCTACTTTGCAAATAGTTGGTTCAATGCCAAGCGGCGCATCACTGGCAGATATGTACACCTTGTCGTTCAAACAAGAGCAACTCATTGTGCGTTTTTATTCCCAACGCGCCTCGAAGCCTCTACTCGTACCCACGCGCCACCCTTGCAGCAAGGTTCGCGCCACTGGCACCATGCATCGACACTAGTCTGTCAAGCTGTCCCGTCCACGTCCACGCGGGCAAGCTACTCGTCTCGGGTTGAAATATCGCCCGACAATACCCATATTGTCTCTTGACTAGCGACGACCTAGCCTCTTGCTATCATCATTTCAACACCAACGACCTAGCCTCTTGCTGATACGAAGATGCTATTCAAGAGCTCCCTCTTCCTTGGTCGTCGTTTGTCTTGTGTCGCTGAACAAGGAGCTCAGAACGTGCTGCAATGTCGACGTTGTTCTTTCTCACTTCGAACATCAGCTGCTCCGTGGCACGTTCCGTGGCAAGGCGGATCAGTCGTTACTAATTCGTGGCGTTTCGGTACGAATTACGGATACTCTAAATCCACCAATCGCCATGACTCGTATCCGGATTCCGTTCATTGACATGCTGCCAGCAGGTTTCAACGCTCGACCAAGCATCCGCGTCGACGCAGCTCAGTCTTGCTTTTGCTTTGCACCGCCGACCTCGATGCAGCTGCGCAGCATCCTTGCCATCGCGTCGGCCATGGCCACGTCGGTCGCCGCCGGCCTCTGCAACGCTGTCCAGCCCGTCTCGTACTCGGAGGCAACCAAGAACGCCGCCTTCATCCCGGCCATCAACGAGCTCAAGAAGCACGCCGTCGGCAGCTGGTACTCGGACCGCGCCCACGGCGACCAGATCGACGCGCTCATGAGCCAGTGCGGCAACGACATCCCGGTCATCGTCATCTACGGCCTG